GTTCACTAACTCTGACCTGGAGGCTCTGGAACGTGGATGACCCTTGCTCAGTACACTGTGGCCTTCCAGGGAAACCACTAACAGAGGGCAGTAGGGAGGCGCCGGGCCAGAAGCTGCGGCTAGGAGGCTCCAGAGTCAGCCTCGCCACTCACCAGATATACAGCAGGCCAAGGAGGACCACCAGGAGGATGGCCAGCAGGATGGACAGGATCACAATGATGACCACAGTGCCCTCTCTGTGGAACCCTGGGACAGCCTCGAATGCCTTGGCTGGAGGCATGATGGGCAAAAAAGGAAATTTCAGCCGGGCATGGTGGTGGTGCCTGCCTTTCAGCCCAGTACTTTGGGAAGCTGAGGCAGGAGGATGGAAAGTTTGATCCCAGGGAGGGCTGGGCAACTTAGTGACTTTGCCAGTCTGCCTCAAACTATGAAAGAACTGGGGTGTAGCTCAGTGCAAGGGCCCTGGGTTTAAGCCGCAGTAGAGCAAGGAAAAGTAAATCTCATCTGACCCAAGAGAGTATCTTTGGGCCCAGGAAGATGGCTCAGTAGAATAAGCAGTTGTGTGGCAAACGCAAGGGGCTGAGTTCAATCCCAGTTCCGGAAAAAAAAAAAAAAGAATGTCTTTGAGCAGCCTCCAGAGCAACCATCCTGTGCCCAAGCCAAGAACAGGGGTACCCACAGGCCGTGGTGGCAATGTGCTTCTGCCTGCTTGGGGCTGCCCTAGTGCCCCAGCCCTTCTGCCCACCCCCAGCCCCAAGCTCCCATCCCTGCTCTGGCTCCTCATACCTTGCTTCAGGCGGGTCTCATCAGACCACTCTGTTTCAGCCACAGGTCCAGTGTCATTCATCACCAGAAACTTCACCCTAATGGGAGACCCAGCATTGGCAGTGGGGGTTCCAGGGTCTGAACCCCTTGACTCCCAGGCCCTAGGAAGAGCAGCCTGGTTTGGGATAGAGTTGAGACTAAATAGCATAGCCACTGCCCCAAAGAAGGGTTTGGATTTGAGCTGGGCATCCTCCAGCTATGTGACCAGGATGTCGCCCGTGCCCTCTCAGGGCCCCGATGCCTGCCTTTGGGAAATGTGTGTAGATCAAGCACTTGGTGGGGGTCGGGACCCAGGGCTGGAGCCTACCCACAGAATGCCCCACCTGCATCTCTATCTGCGGGGTCCAGATGGCCCATGGGATCTGGGGCTTGGTTCAGGGCCCGTCACCCAAGAGAGACAGGAGCAGCTGGCCAGGACCAAGCCCAGGCAGGAGCCCCCACCTCAGCTTCACACCTGTAGGGTCCTGAGTCTGGCAGGGGAGGGTTGCAGCCCTCTTCCGAGGGGGCACAGTGGGTATCATTGCCAATGCGCAGGATGCGGAGCTGGCTGCTGGCTGGGCCGCTTGGGTAGCGCAGCCGGTTGGCTGGCATTGTGAAATAGTAGCCTTTCTGGATGAAGTTGGCCGGGACAGGAATGTCCTTTTTCTTCTGTGGGGAAACGAAGTTCTGGGTGGCTGAGGGTGGTATTGTGGGTCAGATAGTAGGACAGGCCAGGTAGGGCTCCAGCCCCCTCCACCAGACCAGACCCTCTTCCCAGACCACATGACCCCAGCACCTGCCCCCAACTCTCTGCAAGCCTGCCCACCCATGTCACAGAAGGAAAACTGAGGCCAGCCACAGTCATACCCACCATTGCTATAGGCTACCACCAGCCAGATGGGGTCTAAGTCAGAGATGCTGGTATGATTGAACTGGCCCTGTGGTTGCTCCAGCGTGAAGGTGGACTGGGTGAGCTTCCCTTCCAGGGTGGCGCCCGAGAGCCGGGGCACGTAGTGGATGTGCTCTGGGGAGGACAGGAACGGAGGGCAGAGGGCAGAGGCTGGTCAGAGGGGAGACAGACCTACCCTGGGTCAAGGTGGGTGGCTAGAGTTCAGCCCCTGGACCTTCCCTGCGCAGCTTCCTAGGGGTGGAAGGTGGGAGGCTCCACCCTGTCCCTTCTGGGTCACTGGGTTGTTCCAGGGTCAGAAGTAACAGAGGTTCTTCCCCTACCTGCCTTTCATGCTCCTGAACTGGGGTGAGGCTTAGATTTGGAGGACCCCATACCCCAAGCTGGACTCTGCTCCTTGTGGCCTTGAGAGGCCCTCCAGCACCTCCCATAGTTTTCTGAGTGTGAGGAACAACCAGCTTGGAAAGGGGTCCCCTAGCTGTTCCCCCAGGCCTGGTATGGATGAGCCAGAGGGAACCAATGGCTCTGAGGCAGAGGCTGGCTTAGTCTGGGACATTCTTCTCTTCTGCACCCTGTTCTCTGCCACCTTACATCACCCACCACCCATCATGTCCTAAGTCTCCTCTCCTCAGGACACCCCTATTCCTCACAGTCTTATACATCAGAGAGGACACAGGATGGACAACATGACCTATGTCCAGCCTTGCTGCCTTGGACCCCTCTTCCAAGCCCCCAATTTTTTTTTTTTAATTTTATTTATTTGTGTGTGTGTGTGTATGTGTGTGTGTGGCCAGCTCAGCCCACCAGGGGGCGGGGCTGGCTGGCATGTGGTGCTGGGGGATTGAACCGCGGTCCCTGTGCTTTGCTAAGCTTGTTCTAAGTAGGTGCTTTAGACCACTGAGCCATCCCACCAGCCCCAAAGCCCCAAATATTGAGACAACAGAAAAGTGGGCATTTATGTGAAGTTCATCAACCTCCACACCTTTCAGTTCAGTCCCATACAGTTCATTCCCACTAACTCTAAAGATTCATGCTAGAACTTTCAAGAACCTTCTAGCATGGGGAAGGATTGACTCTTCCTCAAAGCTCTTAGTCCTATCTCAGAGCCCCAGGGCACACTGTGTACAGCAGGTGCCTCACATTTGCTTACAAGGGAAGAAGACAGGAGCAGCAGCAAGGGTAAAGTGCTATTCTCCATCAGCCTTGGAGCTGAAGGCAAAAAGAGACCTGTAGGTTTCTCACAGGGTTTCCATGGGCTTCCCTAGCAAGCTGGTCCCCACAGATTTCCTTAGACTCTGCTCAAGACAGGGAAGAAGGAGGGCAGCCTAGAGCTTGAGAACCCCAAAAAGAGAGAGAAGGGACAGGTGCCAGGCTTGTGACCAACTGAGGTTCTATCCCCTCACCCTCCCAGAACCCAGTTCCCAACCAACCGAGAGGCTCTGGAGGAAATGGGGTAGAGGTTTGTCCTCTTGGTACCTGCAACTCTGGGGGGACCTCTGCCCGAACCCTTAGCTTCACTCACCCACACTGGTCCCAGGCTGGACCCAGGTCAGCAGCAGCCACAGTGGAGACAGAAGCAAGGACTGTCCACCAAGCCCCATGGCCAGGCACAGCATCCAGGTACCTGTCCCCGTCTGTCCTCAGGTTCTTCTGCAGTGTCTGTCTGTGTCCCCAGCAGCTCTGTCTCAGCTGGCTGGGGGCACCGCCTCTGGCATCGCAGAGGCCCCTCCCAGTTCCCTCTCCTCCTTTATGACTGGTTAGACAAGTTTGGGGGCTGAATTTTCTGTGGGCCCCAGGATTTGGCCCCGCCAGGGAGGGTTCGAAAGAGAACAATCATTTTTGTCAGGAACAAGCCCAGACTCCCCTGCCCCACTCCAAGGAGGGGCCCTGGAGGAGGGGGTGGCCCTTTGTCCAGGGCAACCAGTGAGGACTCGGCCACACCTGCCCTGCCTTGGGGGACGGCAGTCCTCTTACTCTGTGAATCAGGCTTATGCAGGGTGGAAGCCTGCAGAGCCAGGATGAGGTCACAGCCAACAGCATCACTGCCAGGTAACATGCCATCTCCCCGGCCTCCATCCAGCCCTGGCCAGGCAGATAGTCCTTCCTGAGACAGCTGCCAGATGGGCTCAGGGTAGGTGTGACACCTCTCACAGGGACTGGAGCACCAGCCACTCTCAGCCCAGCCTCAACACCAGGCCACAACCTATGTCCTCAAACCCAAATCATGCTTTGGAAGGCTGAGGTAGGAGGATCACCAAAGTTTGAGGCCAGTCTGGGCTACATGGCGAATTCAAGGGCTGCCTGAACTATAGGCTCAAACAAAGAAACAAAAGTTCCAGTCAGGTTTGTGAATTTTGGGAAATTCCACAGTAACGATCATCTGCAGCCTCCATTCCTGGGTAGGAAGGAGGCGTCCCCTGAAGGGAACTAGCTTTGGTTCCCTGGTGGGATTCATCCCACCACAAGAAAAACTTCTTGACATAACTTCTGTCATGACCAAGATGGGCCAGAACCTTTAATCTCATGGAGGTGGGAAGGGATTGAGAATCGCTGTCCACCAGGTTCTTGAAGGTCAGAACCATGGCTCCCTCTCTCCTTGCTGCTTCCTTCTTGGTCCTTAAGAGTGCTCCCTACTGCCTGGAATCACCTCCTCCGCAGTGAACAAACTCCTACACCTACTTCAAAACTCAGTTCAGGGGCTGGGGAGATGGCTCAGTGGAATAAGCGCTTCCCTGGCAAGCGCAAGGGCCTGAATTCAATCCCCGGTTCCACAAAAAAAAAAAAAAAAAAAAAAAAAAAACCTCAGTTCAGCTATCACCTTCTCCATAAATCACTCCCTCTTCTCAGCCTGTTTCCCTGACCCTCCAGCACAGGGACTCTTTCTTTATCAGTGTTGTTGCATTGTGCCAAACAGGTAATTTCCTACAGCCTGACGATTAGAGGGGCACCATCCACCCTCTCTGGGCCCAGCCTGCACTGCACAGGGGAAGAGGGCCCGCCACTGTCCTAGTCCAGTGCGGTACTGGGGTGACTGTAACAAAATAACCAGGGTGGCTTGTAAACAACAGATGTTCAGGGCTGGGGATACAGCTCAGCAGCACAAGCCCCTGCCTAGCAAGCACAAGGTCCTGAGTTCAATTCCCGGTACCACACAAAAAAATAAACACACAAAAACAACAAAACAAAACAACAACAAAACGCAGGTGCTCATTTCCCATAATTCTGGACAGTGGAAGTCCATGATCAAGACAGTGACAAATTCCACATCACCCACCTCCACACATTTAATAATTTTTTTTTTTTAATTTTGAGATAGGGTCTGATAGGTTCGTAAGTTACTCAGACAAGGCTGGAACTTGTGATCCCTCTCACCTTCCAGAGTGCTGGATCACAGGCCCGCATCACTGCTCTTACCAGAATGCTAGCCCCATTCACGAACGCTCCACTCCTGTGAAGATTTATTTAATAATATCACATCGGAGGATTTTCTTTTTTGAGACATAGTCCTGAACTCACTACGTAGTCCAGGCTGGCCTCAAACTTGCAGCAATCCTCCTGCCTCAGCCTCTCAAGTGCAAGAAGTTTTAACCTATAAGCCTCAGGGAGGCACAGCCCTGAGCAGTGTCAGAGCGCTGAGCCCGCCTCATCGCAGTCCTCATCCGACCGGAGAAGCCCAGGGGGGCCTTCAGATCGCAGGAAGTTCGTGCCCTTCACAGAATGGGACTCAGATGCGCCCGGCTGACTCAAGTGCCAGCTGACACGAGGGCAGGCCGCAGGCCGGGTTGGAGAGGTGGCCCAAGCGCCCTTTGCCCTAGTGACAGTCCCCAGTCCTCCTCAGTTGACTAGCGCCCACTGCCATAGCGACCTGAGCCCTGCCCCAAGCCCCGGGCCTAGAGGGAAGAGACACCATCTCAGACGGGCGCGGTGGCACACATCTATAACTGGGGTCCCGGCTACAACACAGGCCAGTGTCACACGGTGAACCTCAGGGACAAGATCACCTCCTCCTTGGTTTGTAATTTTTATTTATTTATTTATTTATTTATTTATTTATTTATTGGTGGAACCCGGGGTTGAACTCAGGCCCCTGCACTTGCCAGGCAAACACTTATTCCACTGAGCCATCTCTCCTGGCGATGGCCCTTAACAAGTTAGATTTCTATCTTTTTTTTTTTTTTTTTCCGTATGGGTGGTAAACTCAAGACCCAGCACGCGCTTATTTTACCGAGCTATTTCCCCAGCCTTATTTATTTTTATTTTTGAGTATTTAGTACAGGGTCTGCAAGGTCTCGACTTGCAGTGACCCTTCCTGGTTTTCAGCCTCCCAAATGCTGAAATTACAGACATGTGCCACCATGCCCAGTCTCAGTCACGGCTCAGCGCGCCCTGGGGCGAGGCCAGCATGGCAGGTTGGGGATTGAACCCCCGACCTCTGTATCTGCCTAAGCAGGCGCTTTAATCCGCTGAACTATTTGGCCAGTCCTGGCACCTCCTTAGACATATAAAAATATTCCAAAATCTGAAAGAAGACCCTGAAATTGAAACACTTCCTGTCCCCGCTGTGGCTGAAAGCGAGCAGGATCGAGGGCAGCAGGGTCCAGCCGTGGCCTTCCTAGCAGCGCGCCCCGTCAGGGGTTCTCAGCCGTCCCGAGACAAGAGGAGGTTTCCAGGGGGGTGTGTGCAGGTGACCTGAAATGCCATGCGTTCTGGTTAAGGACCTGCAGCTTCTGTGGGTGTTGGTACCTGAAGGGGACCCTGGCGCCAGTGCCCCAGGGACGCCGAGCATCCCCGGGAGTGGAGAGCAGGCCCTGCCTTCACCGGGCCTTCCACCAGAGGAGAGAACCGATATGAGACCAGCGCGGAGATGCACTTGGCCTCACCTCACGGTGCACTAGCTGTGTCAATCGGAGGAGCATTCTGGGTGCTGCGAAGGCCTTGAAGGGAAGGAGTGGACACCAGGGCCGACTTCAGCTGTGCCAGCCCAGACAGTAGGCGCAAAGGATGAGAGTTAGCTGCGGATGGAAAGCTAGTGAGACCCTGTCCTGAGCTAGCCCGAAGAGACACTTTGCAGCCAGGCAGAGCAGTGCACATCGGTGAGCCCAGCAATTTGGGAGGCTGAGACAGGAGGATCGAAAGAGATGTTATCTCTTTCAGCATATGTCAGAATCTAAAAAATAAATTGTAAAAAGGGCTGGAGTTACCTAGCTCAGTGCCCAGGCCCTGGGTTTAATGCCCACAACAACACACACAGATACAGTTAATACATGTTCATTTAAGACGGTGGGTGAGTTAGCTCAGCAGGATGAAGTGCCTGCTTAGGCAAGCTCAGGAAACGGGTTCGATCCCC